TTTGCAGCCGTGCCCGTGGCGGAGGGAGCCTGCAGGAGCAGCGAAGCTGGCGGTGCCCGCGGGCCGTGGCCGCGCAGCCCCGGGCAGGGCTCGGCACAGCGTGGGGAGCAGCCGTCCCCGCGGTCCCCCCGCCGCCCCGCTGCCTTCGCCAGCCGCCTAATTGCGCCAGTGACTTTGCAATTCCCAAAATAGCTGCTGGCTCCGGCGGGTGACGTCAGCGGGAGCCGCGGCGGCAGGAGCGGGGAAGGAGCGGGGAAGGAGCGGGGAAGGAGCGGGGAAGGAGCGGGGAAGGAGGACGCTGCCGGCGCTGGGGTGTGGCGAGAGGCTCCTGCACCCGCCGCGGTGACCTCGGCACCCGGGGCCACGCTCGCAAGGGAACGGGGCTTGCGGTGCCGCGGGGATGCCGCAGGGAGTGCAGGTCCTCTCTCATCCCATCGCAGGAGGAGGTGGTCCGGGGCTGTCCCTGTCCTGCATCCCTGCCACTTGGGTGTCCGCATCCCCAGCACCTCTGGGGGCCGGCTGCCCCGGGGAGAGGCAAATCTCGGTGCCCCCACGGGGTGAGGAATGCCCCTCCAGCCAGGGCAGCCGGGCCCCTACAGCTCCCCGAGGGTGTCAAGGGGTGAGCCAGGGAAACTGAGTCACGTCGGAGGATGCAGAGGCAGCAAGGAGGGCAGGGGAGGACGCAGTGAGCTGGGGAGGCCAAGGTCACCCAGGTGGTGCTGGGAGCAGCAGAGCCAGGGATGCTCCCGGCGCAGGGCTGCCTCCGGCACTGACTCACCCTGCACCGGATAGCGCCCAGCTCCTCCGGTTACAGGCACAGACGGGATTGCCTTAACGGGGCACGGCGGTGGCAGGGCTGGCCCAGCCCAGGAAGGGCACCCCTGGGACCGGGCACTGACCCACGGGCCCCTCCTGCCGTCCCTGCAGTCTGCAGCCTCCCCGCCACGAGCAGGGCATCCTCCAGCACATCCCAGCCAGAAGCACTGCTTGTACTGGTCTTATACTGGTCCCAGAATGGATTGCCCATCCCTCGCAGCACAACTGGGGGAGGATTTAATCGTGAGTGTCCCCTCACCTGCCCCGGTTCCCGGGCAGCAGAGCTCCTGACCCCCACACCAGCGCCCAGCCAGAGGCCAGCTTATTATTCTAGAACGTGGCAAAATAATTAAAGCCTCCTCCATTTCCCCTTGCTCATTTGTGCTCCTTCAGCCTGGATTAATGGGTCTCTTCTCCCCAGCACAGACTCATTCCTTATTCCTAATAGCCCATAAATCCCAGCCTCAAAATAACCCCAGCTTTTGCCTGGACCTGCTGAAATATTTATTCTCTCCTCCCTGCTACCCCCCACACCATTCCCCTCTCCAGGGATGGGGAGAGGAACTAATCGATGACATCGACCGGTGTGGAGCTGCAGCTGCTCTGGGCGCCGGGAAACAGCTGACGTCGGCAGGAGGATGGGAGCTGGGCAGGAACTCGGCTTCTCCCGGCTCCCACGCAGCCGCTGCAGCCTGGCTGTGGTCCCGTGGTGGGATGCTCTCGCACTCTTGGCACCCCCCACGCTGCTGCCCTGCTCCAGAGCATCCTCTGTGCTGCTACCGAGCTCCAGAGCATCCTCTGTGCTGCCATCCTGCTGCAGAGCATTCCCTGTGCTGCTACCCTGCTCCAGAGCATCCTCTGTGCTGCTACCGAGCTCCAGAGCATTCCTTGTGCTGCCATCCTGCTGCAGAGCCAGCAGTTCCATCCCCCTGTTCCTTGCCCCAGGGCTTCCCCTCGCTGGTACCCTGCTCCCAGCCTGCCTGCCACTCCCTGCTCCCAGAGGAACAGGAGATGATGCTCAGCTTGGCTGTGGAGTGTCTGGGGGGGATCCCTGTGGATCCCAGCCCATCCCAAGCTGGCTGCAGGAGAAAAGTCTGGAAGACGAGGGAGGCAGCTGCTGCCTTTCCTGGCTGGAAACCCTTTGCTTGCCGGATTGTAGGCTGTGAAAGGGAGAAACTCCAGGATACCAGGGTCTGCTCTCCCCAGCTCAAGGCAAGAGGAGCAGGAAGTGGTGTAACACCAAAAACCAGCCCAGCTTTGCCAGGTCAAGGCATAATCCCCGAGAAAAACAGGGAAAACCCATCCAGCCTTTCTTATCTTCCTCCCTGTGACTCTCCAAGAGGCTGCAGCTTTCAGAGCAGCTCCTGGCCACCAGCTCCACTCCCATCTCCTATAGCCACAGGGAGGGGACAGCAAAGCTGGAGGAGCCCACAGCACCCTCTGACCCATCCCCAGCTGGTGTGGGCTGTGGGGATGGCCTGGGAGCTGCTGGGGACAGCTCTGTCACACTCCTGCTCCCAGCAGGACCCAGGCATTGCCCAGCTGTCCTGGAAGCAGGAGGTGAGACGGGAAGTGAGAGGGCAGTGGAGCGTGCAGGGACTGGGAGCACAGGGAAAGGAGGATTTTGCTCACACACCACCTCCCTGCCCTCTCCCAGGGCACCAGCAAGCCCTTGTCCAGCTGTGCCACCCACAGCCTGACTGGAAGATGCTTCCATGCCTCAGTTTCCCCACTGAGGGAAAGCTGGACTGGGATCCAAGCGCTGGCAAAGCTCTGTCCATGGGCAGTAGAAGAGAAGCAGCCAACAGGAGCCTGAGCATGGGGCCAGGGCCACCCCACAGCTCAGGTGACTGCCAAATCCCACAGGGAACAAACCCAAAGCTGGAGCCAACCTCAACCTCTGAGCCTGAAGGGCATCAGGCTTGTACCCCCAGATCTGGGGTGGGGAAAGGTCCAAGCTGAGCTCTCAGCTGGGTGAGAATTAAAGATTTCTTGGGGGTCAGCCAGGGATTTGGGCCAATTTTTGGCAAGAACTGAGATCTTTCCTCCAGGTTTGGGGCATCCCCTCTTCTCCAGGCATTTGCTTTTACCCAGGGCTTTGAGGGGATGACAGGAAAACAAATCAGTTCTCAGAGCACTTTCAAAGGGCTTTTATGTATTCACAAAAACAAACCCAAACACATATAAGAAAAAAAAAGTGAAAACCAAAAAAAACCCAACCCAGGAATATGCACAGTCTCTTATCAACAAAAGAATTGCACAGAGGAGTGAGTTTTGCGCCACTGCAGGAGCCCTTCCCCACCCTTGAACCCCATCCATGAGAACACGGAGATAATTTTCCCAGGGTCCCAGAAGGAATCAAACACTTGGTGGTGAAGGTGACTGGTGCTGCAGCCTGGGTCTTTCCACCTGAGCTGGGAGGAAAACAACCTTTATACCCCAAAGGCACGGCACTGGGGAAGGAGCAGGCTCCTGGGTCCCTTTCCTTGCTCTGGGAAGGGATTTGGGGTCTTCCCTATGGTTTTCCATCTGTTTGTATCCTGCCTGCCAGCTCCCTGCCTGCCCTGGGCACCTCAGAGCATGGAGCTTTTGGGACAGAGCAGACAAAACCAGCACGTCTGTATGGCACAGGATGGAGAAGGGTGGGGGGACTGCAGGGAGCCCCATCCTTTCCCACTCCCCAGGAGGCTTTTTGGGCATGGACTGGCTGTGCTGAAGCACCCCAGGAAGGGAAATCTCATCTGAGCTCTCCTAAACCCCACAGTGTTTGCAGAAGGAACAGGTGAAACGGGTGCAAGGATTGCAGATGGCGTGAGATCCAACGCCTGCATTTTTGCTGCATGGAAATGGGGGAGAAATTGGTATTTCTGGTGCCAAAATGGGAAGAAAAAGCTGGTATTGGGATTGCTGGAGGGCTTGAAAAGCAAATTGCAGAACAACAGTAGCTCACTGCAGTGCCACTGGAGCATCCTGGTGTGATTTCAGCCTCCTTTTTACATTTTCTCAGTATAATTTAACATCATTTTCACAGCAGAAAATCCATTTTTCTCTCCTCATATCTTTAAAAAAAAATGGCTGAAACCAGCCAGATTTCACATCAGAAGCAGTTTTGTTTTTCCAAGGGGCAGTCTGGGGCGTGGAAGGGGGGAAGTTTCACCCACTACTTCAGGAGCTGAGGAGAACCCTGTCCTCACCCAAATCCTCCCATCCTCAGAGCCCAAACGTGCACGAGGCCAGCGCAGGGAGTGTGTCCAGAGCAGCACCAAGGGTTCAGCCCCTCTCTGTGGGATTGCCACCAGTTCCCAGCAGCATCCCTGTCCCCCCTTACCTACGGGAGGGTCATAGGATGTCACAGACAGCACCGGCATCCTCGGAGTGGTCGCAGTTGTGCACGTCCCAGCGGATGTGGGAGCAGCGCAGCAGCGAGGGCTCGTGGCCCTTGCACTTGAGGTTGTCGAGGAAGATGTAGCCGGTGCCTTGGCCGTAGCGTGCCTCCCCCCAGGCTGCCACAGCGTGGCCACAGCCCAGCTGCCTGCACACCACCCTGGCGTCCCGCAGGTCCCAGGCGTCGTCACACACCGTGCCCCACTGGGACAGGTAGAACATCTCCACGCGCCCCTCGCACCGGTGGCTGCCGTTCACCAGGCGCAGGGATCCTGTGGATGGGATGGGGTGAAACAGCCTCTGCCCATGCCCAGCACTGTGTCCCGCTCTCCCTGCCTGCCCTGGGTTCAGCCCAGAGCTCTCCTACTACCCTTGCACAGCCAGGAGCAGAGGGGTGACCACCTGCCAGGGCTGGGGGTGACCCTCAGAGCATCGTGGTGGATGTTAAGTTGGAGGAACAGACAACCACCTCTGTTCCCAGCTCTGGCCCTTTGGTCCATCACCTCCTCTGCCCACCCTGAGGTACATCACTTCTGTCTGAACCAGCCTTGGGGCCACCAGGAGATGCTGTGGCTTAAGAATGTCATCAGTTTTTCCCCCCTCCCACGGACCGCCAGATTTTGTGCCTCTGCCTGAGCCACTTCTTTTTCCACCCTGTGCCGCCATGGAGCATCCCCAGGGCTGGCACTGTGTCCCCAGGTGACACCCCAGCACCTACCCTCCTTGGGACGAGTCAGGGCCAAGGTGGTGGTTGTAGCAGTGGCTTCTTGGAAATGGTCTTCAGTGTCATCAGCACCTGGTGGAGTAGAGGAGAGGTGGGAAAAGTGACCCAAGGGAAAGGGTGGGGTCAGAGCCCCCCCAGCAGTGGTGTGGGATGACTGTGGATGGTTGTCCCCCATCAAAACCTGTGGATTTCATTCTTCACCCACAACCCCACTCGGGTGACCCCATTTCCCACAGCCAGCCTGAGCGTGGCCGAGATCCTCCTCACATCCATTCTCCCGTTGACTTTCCCACTGAGCTGGGCTTCACCGGACACCTGCAGACGCCCCTCTCTCACCTCGGCAGATGACCCCGGCGTCCTCGTGGTGGCCGCAGTTGTGCTGTCCCCATCCCAGGTGGAAGCAGTCGGCCAGGCGCGCCTCGCCGCCGCCGCAGCCCACGTTATCCAGCAGCACGGGCCCGCTGCCGTAGCCGAAGGAGCCGAGCACGGTGGCGGCGAGGGCGGTGCCGCAGCCCAGCTGCCGGCAAACCACCTGGGCGTCGGGGAAGTCCCAGTCGTCGTCGCAGACGGTGCCCCAGGTGCCGCGGTGCCGCACCTCCACCCGCCCGCGGCAGCTCCCGTTCCCGTTCGCCAGCCGCAAGCCGCCACCTGCGTGGCACGACGCCGGGGGGACCGGGGCTCCACAGGGCGTCCGGTGTCCCCTGCTGACCCTCCGAGGGCGTGGGGTGAGCCCCCGGGTTCTGGGGTAAGCCCTGAGCACGTTGGGTGCAACCCCCTGGGGATGTGGGGCAAACCCCTGTGGGCGTGGGGTGAGCTTTTGGGTTATGGGGTGACCGTATCAACTGAGCCCCTGGGGACACAGGGTGAGTCCTGATGGTGTGGGGTGACACTGGCTACAGGGGTGATTCCCAAGCATCATGGGGTGAGCACTGTGAGCATGGAGCAATCCCTGGAGATGCTGGATGAACCCTTGAGCGTCATGGGGTGAGCATGGAGTAAACCCCGAGGATGTGGTGTGAGCCCTGAGGATGGCAGATAATTGCTGGGGCATGGATTGAGCACTCGGAACACGGGGTGACCTTTGGGGACATGGAAGGAGCCCTGGGGGCATGGGGTGATGGAGTGACTCCCCCAGGGACGTGGACCCCCGTGCAGGACTAGCAGCAGCTGCACACTTACTTTCCTGCTCCATGGTCGGGAGCGTGGTGGTGACCACCTCGGTGGCCTGGGAGGGCTGGTCCCTGCTGTCTGTCACTGCTGGGACAAGCGTGGGGACGTGTGGGCATTGGGGGCTCCAGATCCAGCACCCGCTGCCCCTGCTCCAGTCAGTGCCAGTGCCCACCAGCACCCTGGCTGCCCCCTGGCAAGACCCTGCCATGGGCAATGTCACCCCCCAAGCATCATGACAGGACCCCAGGGTGGCCAGGCCGGGTCACAAGAGGACACAGAGGGCACAGCTTCCCCCCCAAGATGAGTGACTGCCAAACTCCTACCTGTGGCCGTGGCTGTGAGCGTCTCCTCAGAGTCCAGGGCTACCGAGGTGGTGAATGATGTGATGGTGGATGTGTCCAGCCCTGTGGTGACACAGAGGGACAGAGGTGACACCTGGGAGGTTTATCATCAGGATTCATTACCTTTTATGTCTCATTATCCCCTGCTCCTCTGAGCAAGGTCTGGGCGTGGTGGTGCCATCGACTTTGTGCCCAGAGGAGGTGCCAGAGGGGATGGGGAATGTTTAGAAAGGAAAGGACCAGCCTGAAAAAATTGTCCCTTTTGTCCTACATCATCCCCTTTGTCCATTAATAGTGGGAAAGGGAAAGCACTGGCACTTACTGCTCCCGTCATTAGCCATGATAATGAGGGAATTCAGGGGGATTATTAACATTATAAACAGTAATCAGTGGAGAATGGCAGGAATACATCATTTCAGGAGGGGAAGGGGAGGCAGGCTGGGCCTGGCGCTGTGCCCGGCCCTGGCAGCCGCTCTCTCCTTCCGGACTCCGGCAGCTTGTTTTCCAGCCAACAGAGCAGGGAAATGGCAGAGGGAAATGGCAGGATGGCAGATGCATTTCCTCTGCAAATCACCACCCCGGCTGTGCTCCGGGCTCTTGGCATGGGGTTGCTACACCGGAGAACCGGGATGAGGGTGGATAAGGAACAAGGATGCTCCCACAGCGCAGACCCCAGTCCCTGCCCAGCCTTGGGCATCTCAGCATCTCTCTGAGGCCATTTCTGCTTGGAGAACAGGATGTCCCTGGGTTTTTCCCCACTCTGAGGGCGATGCCCTGCCCAGTACCTGTGCAGATGACCCCAGCATCCTCGTGGTGGCCGCAGTTATGGATGCCCCAGCCGAGGCTGTAGCAGGCAGACAGGAAGGGCTCGCTGCCGTCGCAGTTGACGTTGTCCAGGAGGATACGTCCTGTTCCATAGCCAAAATAGGCATTGCTCTTGTAATCCAGGGCTTGCCCACAGCCCAGCTGCTTGCAGACCACGCTGGCGTCGCTCAGGCCCCAGTCATCATCGCAGACGGTGCCCCAGTTCCCGCGGTAGAAGATCTCCACCCGGCCCTGGCAGGTGTCGGGGCCGCTCACCAGGCGGATGCTGCCGTCACCTGGAGGGTGGCAGCAAGAGGTGAGAAGGATGTGGTGTCTCTGCACGTGGCACAGCGATGCCACCGTGCCCAGCCCCTGCTGTGCCCGTGTTGGCAAAGGAAATGAGTGAGAAAGAGCAGGGAAGGGGTGAAGCTTTATGGAAATGGGGCTCGGGAACCTTGGGAACCTCTGGGCCAGGGTGTGGCCATGGCCAGCACAATGATGAGGTCTGGGGGTCTGCACCTCAGGGCTGGATGGTTGGGAGGCTTCAAGAGGGGAAGCAGGTGACAGAAGGGGACACTGCCCTCAGGCAGGATGTCCCCCCTGCAATGACAGCTTACTTTCCCCGTCCTGTACCGAGGCCGTGAGGGTCCTGGTGGTCGGTCCTTCGCTGACTTGCGTGGGTGAGAACTCTGCAAAGGGAAGCAGAGGTGGCACCTGCTGCTGCTCCACCCTGAAGCTGGAGGGATCCCCCCGCCCCACTGCTCCAGGAGGGTCTGCACCAAACCAGCCCCAGCTGAAAACAGAGGGGTTTGCAGCTGCACGGCCCTGCCCAGAGCTCTCTGCCAACACCTCCAGCCTCTCTTCTGCCCTCAGACCCAGCTCCCCACCTCTTTTTTCACTCCTTCCACCTCTCCTCTCCAACAATGACATGATTCAGTTTCCCACCCAATCCACAGCCTCTGTGCTCTGGTTGCTGTTGGTACGACCTACCAGCCAACCCAGCCTCCCTGCCTTTCCATCCCTCCTTTTTCCAAGCCCTGCTTCTGCAGGATGTGGGGATTCACGGAGCAGCTGCTCCAGGTCTGCACAGCCTCATTTTCACAGCTCACTGATGCCTGGCTGATGAGCAAACCTTGCACAGCGAGGGAGGAACGTGTGTGGGGTACACAAGGGTCGTCAAGGAGCCGTTCCACTTTCACTTGCCAAGTTCAAACACTTTCCACTGCTTTTCTCACCTTTAGGAACATCTCCTACTGAAAAGCTCAGCAATCAAAGAAACACAAGTCAAAAGGGGAAAGAGCAGTTGGGCAGCAACGACTCAGAGGCAGGAGTGTGGGTGGGCGTGTGCTCTTTCCCCAGGGATCATACTGGAGAGAGCACAAAGTCCCTGAGCTGGGAGTGACAAGGAGCACTAAACAGGCTGGCCACCTTATGGAGCACCGGCCTGTGGAGCTGGGAGGTGACCTGGATTGAGGAGAGGGGTGAAAGGAGGCTGCAGAGGATTTCTGGCTGGCCCAGGTCAGAGGAACAGGCTCTGAGATAAGACTCTTGGGCTCCACCAAGGCCCCTGCAGCCCTCAAGTCTTGCACTCCACAGGAACCCCCTGCTCTCCTTGCCCCCAAGGAACACAACCTCTTTACCATTGCACACAACAGCCACGTCCTCGTAGTGGTAGCAGTTGTGGATGCCCCAGCCGTGGCTCCAGCACTCGCTCAGGGCTGCCTCCCAGCCCTTGCAGTCCACATTGTCCAGGAAGATGGGCCCACTCCCCTGGCCAAAGGTCATGGCAGCTGGCAGGGTGATGGCATGGCCACAGCCCAGCTGGCGACACACCACGTTGGCATCCACGATGTCCCAGTCGTCGTCGCACACCGTCCCCCAGGAGCCGTTGTAGAGGATCTCCACTCGCCCCTGGCACCGGCTGGGCCCATTGGTGAGACGGATCTCTGGGAAGATGGGAACAGAGAGGTCCTTCAGCAGGCAGTGGGCCGTGGGGAGTAAATCTACATCAAACTCCTGCTCCTTATATAAAATCCTGCCCCTTCTCTGTAGCACATGGCAGTTGTTGGCTTGGTGCTGCCCACCTGCTGGTGGGATGTGGGCTCCCCTTCGTCTGCTGGCAGCAGTGGCTGTGGAGACACAGCACATCTCAATCCAGGAATGAGATGCACCATCACCAAGGTCAGGCTGGATGGTGATTTGGACAGCCTGCTCTAGTGGAAGGTGTCTCTGCCCATGGCAGGGGGTGAAATGAGATGGTTTTTAAGGTCCCTTCCCAGCCAAAGCATTCTGTGGCTCTTGTGATGCTCCCATGTCACCTGCTAATGGGCAAAAGCAGACATGTGGCACCACATGTTGACATACAACAGGTGACAAGTGACAGGATGCAATGAGCAAATTCTTATTAGCCTCAATGAATGCATCCAGAGCTGGTCCCACATGAGAGCAAGTGGGATGGAGATGATCTCTCAAGCTGCTGGTGATGGGGACAAGGCGTGGAAATGTCCGAGGTCTACCACACCAAGGGAATTATTTACACGTGTGTGATGCATGGCACAGGGACAGGGACTCAGCAGGAGGTGCCAGAAATTCTCCTCTCGGGTTAATTAGTGGAATAAGGATAACAAAGAATCTTTATTTCCTTTCTGTAAAAGAAGTTTAGCTTCTTCTTGCTGCTTTTTGTTCCAAATCAATATCTTTCCTTTTAAAACTTCTCCAAATCCCTTCTTTTACCTAAAAATGCATTTTTCAGCTACAATACTTCCTGGAGAAAAGTAACTTTAAGAGAAGAATCTCACCTGGGAATGGCAATATCTCGGGCTCAGAGGTGGTGCCTGCAAGGGAGAAGAGAAAGGATCAGCTCTCCCCAGAGAGGAGGAGGTGCAGCTTGGAGAGTGGTGGCAGCAGGGGTGGGATGGGATGTGATGAGTGTGGTGGGGACTGGCAGGACCCAGCAGCCCTTGGACCCTTTCCTGCAAAGTCCTGGTATTTCTAGGGGAAAAAATGAACACACTTCCCCAAGGCATGACTTCCTCTGCTTCACAGGAGAGGAAACTGAGGCAGCATATGAGTGACTGTGACTCTGGTGGGACTGTGCTTGAAGCCCAAAGTGACACATGTGTGACCCTGATAAGCCCAGCAGAAGCCACTCCACGTGAGTCTTGTCTTGGGCCAGGTCTTGGGGACATTTTTTGTCCATCCCTGGCTCCGTTGCTGCCTTGCTGTGGGCCCTGGGGGCAGTTCCTGAATTCTCCTGCCCCATCACCCACATTGAAAACTTGGGTGGTGAAGTGAGAACAAGGAAAATCAATCTTGCCCATCTTGAGAAACCCACTGGAGATCTCCTGATGGAAGATGCTGCACCCTTAAATTATGTGCATTTTAATTGATTTTTTTCTTTTATTTCCCCAATGAAATCCACTTTTTGGAAGCTCCATAATTAAATGCAAGTACCAACACACCTGCTGATGGGGTCCAGCCACCTTAGGGGGTGAACAAACCTCATCCAGAGGGAGGTGAGCACTTGAAGGCTGCAGGATGTGTCCCCCTCCCACAGTCTGGGCATTATTTGGGCACAAAATCCCTCTCAGCCCCAGTGCTGAGTGATGTGGGATCCTCTCATGTTGCCAGCATGGGTCATTGAAGGCTCCAGCTTGTCCAGAAGGCCACAACAACATGATCATGTTGCCCTGGGGGACAGTGATTGGGGATGGGTGGCTTGACCTCGTAGACATCCCACTCCACAACGCTTGTCCGATGCTGGAGCCCAGCACAGATCTCCCTGGGCATTTGAGGTGTCCTGAGCTTGAGGCTCTGGCTGCAGAACCCTCTCCCATGGGCATCACCTTCCAAAATCCTTCCAAACTTAGCGGAAGGTGTCGCTGCCCACAGCAGGAGTTTGGAAAAAGATGAGCTTTCAGGTGGCTTCCAACCCAAACCATTCCGTGATTCTGTGATGCCTCTGTGCTAATTGCAGCAGCCAGGGGCTGATCAGCACCCGTGGTAACTCCGTGGCCTCTTTTCCTCCCACTGCCTCGGACCAGCCCTGTCCTGCTTCACGCTCAGCCTACCAGCAGTGACGTGAAGGTCAATCCCAGCCGCTCCGGAGGCGGATGTCACTGCCGTGAGAAGCAGTGTGAGCCTGGGGGGACAGTGGAGCAGATGAACCCACCTCCCTTTTCCTTGCTAGGACGTTGCCTGGGAGACCATTAAGTCAGCCAGAAATCAGGGCTGTCAAAGAAAGACCTAGAAGCCCCAAGAGAAAGGAGAATAAGGCAACTGTCTGGTTGTGTCCATGACTTAGCGGGGATGCTGGGATGAACAGCAGCAGCTCCAGCGTGGTCAGTGCTCCTGCCCTACACAGCTGGACCAGGCATGGGAAGGGATGCTGTGATTCCAGCAAGAATTGGGGATTACACAGGTGCAGAGAGGCTCTGCAGGAGAGGACAGGGAAGGATACAGCAGCCCCGTGGGCTGGACAACAAGGTAGAGATAATTCAGCTCACACCTGCATCAAAAATGGGGAGACGCAAGGGTTTCTAGGAAGAGTGTTTGATCCTGGTTTGTATTGATTTTTAACACCTAGCCCACTCCAATGCCGAAAAAGCAGTGGATGAAAAGGACATTGATAAATATTCATCCCCCTTTAAGTCAAAATCAAAGCCCTGAAATATTCATTTAAGAGCATCCTCCAGCAAAGTCAGGAGAGATCTGAAAAGAATACGCCTGGTGTGTCTACAATAATGAGGAGCGAGGGGGAAGCTGTCTTTTTTGAGAAGAGATAGAACCCTCCATGTTTCTCTGATCCAGCTTCACAAAGCCAAAAGAAAAAGGGAAACTGCTCGAGTAAACACCGCTGCTAAACAAAACCACCAAATGGGAGGACAAATGGCCCTTCGTTAGCGGCTAATCTGTGCCCATTAATGACGAGAACCAGAAGAGCCAGGCGATGCAGGGGACAGCGACAGAGCCACCAGGGCCACCCCAGGGTCCCCACACCCGGATTGTGGGCCAGGATGCTGCCGCAGCATCCCGAGGGGGAAGGAAAGCACCAGCTGAGGAGGTGGGAAGGTAAAACCCGATTTAACTCGATTAGGATGTCTGACTACAGCTGAATTCCCAGTTTTCTGGCTGGCCGTGCCTTGACACGGGTTTGTTGAGGCAGGAATGCGTTCCCCACCTCCTGGCTGTAATTATTACATGGAGAGAGTCACACTGGGATAGCTATGCTGCCACAGCACTCGTGTGGGACCACGTTACAGAGTGGGAATGGCTTTTCCCAGGTCTATTTAAATGCTTTCCATTCTGGCTGGACAGTGCCTGCCAGAAATTGGGACTGCTGTCCTCAGGGGATGGGTGCTCATTCCACCCGTTTCCTTGGCAGGATTGGTCCCACAGGTCCTAGGGAGCAACTCCAGGAGCATCCCTTGGCCATCAGCATCTTCCCAGAACTGCTCTGTCACCAGTGCTGGCAGCTGCCTGCCCCATTCCCCTGCCTGTCCTGAGCATTGGGCTTGCTGTCACAGCCAGGTCACGGTGGGACGTAAGAGCTGAACTTGCTCCCTCCGTCCCACACCACAATAATCCTGTGCCTGGAGAAAATCTTCCCACAAATCTGAGATGGTGGTGCCTAAAACCCCACCCACTGTCGCAGGCAGGAGCTCACCGGTGGGGCTGAGGAGGACGAGGAGGATGAGGAGTGTGGCTGGCATCAAGGAGAGGGGCAGCACCTCGATGTCCGACCTCCTTGTGCCGTGCCGGGTGTCTGGGCAGGGAGCGAGTGTCATTGCTGCTTGTCAGCCCTCCTGCAGGTGAATTTCCAGAGGACACTTCCCTGAAACATGCAGGCAGCAGTGTTAGTGGTGGTGGCCAGGAGAGCCTGTGGTCACCAAGGGCCATGCAGGACCTGTGAATATGTCCCTCCTCAATATTTCCAGGAACAGTGACCAGGAGACACATGAAAAGTAATTCCAGCTGGATTCATTGAAAACAAGAGATTTTTTTGTGTGTGTGTGGCAAGATGAAGCTGAAGTGCCGTATCCCACCTGCAAGATAGAACTCAGCAACAGGGAACGTCAGCAGAAAATGAGGAAGAGATTAAATATCTTAAGATTCCGTTTCCCCCTCATTGCTCACTGCCGAAGGGGTGGATTGGGTGGGTTTCCAGCTCTGTCTCACTCGCAGGCTGTCCGGGAGGGGGATGAGTGCTGGTCCTGCTGGCCGGGACACCTCTGGGAGCCCAGCCCCACATCCCCGCGGTGCCAGCAGCCGGGCTGGAGGCAGTGTGCGCTGGGGGAGCAGTGCCATCGTGAGGATGCTCCCGCACGCCGCCTCCCAAGCCGGGCTGCCAGGCTTAGCTCCGCGGAGCCCTAAAATTAGTTCCTCCAGCCCGCGCGGGGCACACCAACTCCTGAAGGGATGCACAACGACTGCTACCTCTTCAGGCAACCACCGGTGGTCAGAAACTTGGGAAAGCTCATTGAAATCCACTGTACCAGTGACTAACCCCTCCTTCCCGTGGAAACCCCTCATCCAGCCTTTTGCTGCTCCTGGTTTTCCCATGTGGAGGCATGGGATGAGAAGAGCTCCCAGGTGGGACCGTGTGCTGGTGTCCACCCAGCCAAGGCCCCTTCAGACCATGGGTTGGGGGGCTCCAGAGCCTCCAGACCAAGGCTTGGGTTTCATTGCCTGCACTGGGAAGAGATGATGGTGGACCAAAGCGTTTTCTGTGCAGCAGCAAGAGGTGACGGAGGTGCAGGAAGGAGCCGGCGTGGATGGGACACAGCCCCCTTCCATCTCCCTGATCTCTGCTGACCAAGCCTCTGGAGGAGACTCACCAGCGGACAGACAGCTCACTGATGGGGGCTGAAAACCAATCTACTCGCTGAGGTGCTGGCTTTCAATACTCCATTCATCCCTCCTGAAGCACCGAATAATGTCGCCTTTTGTCCCACGGGCCCTCCCCTCCGTGCAGCGGGGCAGGGCTGACAGACGGCCCCTCCGCCGCCCTGGCCCGGCCAAACCCCGGCATCGCGTCCTGCTCGCAGGGACATTGTCATCGCCGGCCCCTTTTGTGCCGGAGCCAGCGCGTTCCTGCTCCCTGGCAGGGTGGCAGCGGGCATTAACCACTGCGGTGCTGTGCCACGGCTGAGCCCAAAGAGGGAAAACCCGACTTTCCATCTCCGTCTGTGCTTTTTCAACTGCTTCGCAACCCTCACCCCAACGCTCAGGATTCAGCTGAAAACTGAATGCCCTTCCTTAAACCCAGGGGTGTTGGGGCTCTTTCAGAATCCCCAGAGATTAAAATCTGCTTTTAAGCCATAATTAGTCATTATGGCACTGTTGCAAAACCCAGCATCCCTTTTAACATCACTCAGAGAAGCTGTGGCTGCCCCATCCTTGGAATTGTCCAAGGCCAGGCTGGATGGGGCTTGGAGCAACCTGGGATAGTGGAAACTGTCCTGCCCATGGCAAAGAGGTAGAATGGGATGAGCTTTAAGGTCCCTTCCAACCCAAACCATTCTATGATTTTGTGATGAATCTATTATTTAATGTGGGTTTATGGAAGTCCCTGCACACCAAGATTTTCAAGCTGTCAGATGTCCTGTGAAGCCACCCTTCACCATGGACCCGATGGAAGCAGCAAATCCTCCATCCACCCCCATCTTGGACAAGCACTGGCCACCAGGGATGGTACAAAACTCACAAAACTCACAGGGGAGGATCAGGGCTTTGATGTGGGGCACAGAAAGTCCCTGCTTTCACCCCAAATAACACACCACAGCAGACACACTGTGCCCAGCCAGCCTTTTGCCCTCGGTGAAAACTCCCTCCTCCCACCTGGGCACAGGATCCCACAGGTCTTTTAATCCCTTTTGGTCCCCCTTGTACCCCTTGGCCACAGCTGGAGTGAACCCCAGTTCTCTATCACTTCTTCCACTTTTTAACAATTCAAACAACTTCAGGAGAAATCACAGTTTTTCAGCTGCCACCACCCCACCAGATCATTATTTGTAATTACCATCCTAACCTAAAAAAAATATAAATCCACATACCTGTTTGGTATTTTCTCTCCAGTATAAAGATGGGTGTATCAAATCCCAGAAATATCTGTCCTCTTTTGAAATAAACAAAGGATCTGGCTAGTTAGTTATAAAATAATTTTAAATAACGTTTGAAATTAATATGCCGGGTAAGATGAGATGGGGATAAGGCAGGAACTATTTCTTTAGGTGAGATCTTGCTTGGTAAATTAAAAAAAAATTAAAAAGGGAGAAGAAAATGGATCTCATCCATCAACAGAACAGCTCCAGCCTGTCATCTCCTCGCTCTTTAGGGGCTGCTGCTGGGCTACAGCAGGATGGCAGCCCTGCAACCCATCCTGGGACAGATCATCCCCAAAGCAAAGGAAAAAGAGAGGGACCAGGAGAAGGGAGGAGAAGAGGAAGAAGAAGCAGAAAGAGAAGAGAGGGAAGCTTGCTAAGGAGACATGGCGGGGAGGGAATGGCTCGGGTTTCAGGGAGGCAGGCAGGGACACATCCTTAAATTGGGTGCTGGCAGAGCCTGGGTTACGCCTCGAGGGGAAGGAAGAAGCTTTTTCAGAGGATTTTGGCTTTTCAGCTCCTTCCCACCTCCCTTCTCTGCTGTCTGAGTGCCCACCTGGAGAGGAAGTCAGCAATAACCATCTGGCTGGAAATACTTCTGTCAGTGCCTGAGCCAGCACTGGGATGCAGCAGGAGGAGATGGTTCTGACCTCCTTCCCTTGATGATCTCTTCCTTGGGCAAACCATGGTCTTTCCTGCTTGTCCCCAGGCAAGAAATTACCTTTAGAGGTCCCTTTTCACAGGATTTTTCCTGTCTGACCATCCAAGGCATCTCTGCTCAGGACATTAAAGAGATCTGGCCTATCCTTGTGCTCAGCCCGTGGTGAGGGATGTCCTGTGGCTGGAAACCTTCCCCATCCACCTCCACCACCTCTGCGCTACACATTCATGTTGTCTGCTTCTGCTCCTGACCAAGGCATCTCTTTATATTAAAAAGAATTCTGTATATTTCATAATTTGTAACTACTACAGCCTTTTAACAATTTTAACCATCATTGCAAGTAAAAGCCAGATAATGTGAAACTCTTTGGTCTCAGCAGCCTTGAAGAAAAGGAACACAGAAAAGGAACCTCCAAACATACTGGGTTTCCCACGCTTATGAATTCTTAAGTTCACCAGCAATTTTTGGAGCCTGGTGTGCTTTTGGCTTTGAACAAGTTGATTTTATGAGCCACAGGATTCCTGCCCTCATTCTCATGGGAGACAGAATTTGCCTTATGGCTCTTGCTGCTGGATTTTTCACTTGCTGCTATGCAAAGCCCAGACTTCTAAATGCCCTAAAAAGCCTGGGTTTTGTATTTTAACTCTGCACAAAGCCAGCTCTGGCTACAACTGTCGCCAACTGCTTCTGCTGTTCCTTTCTTGTAATTAGCAATTAGGCACTTTTATTTCCCAGTAGCAGCAAAGTTCTAATTAACCAGATCATGAGCACAAGTTTCAAAGGTGCCTTTTAAGTCTGTTTTGCCTAAACTTTGATAGACTCCCCACTGTCCTGGCTTTCTGCCAGGGCCCGTGGACTGGGAATCACCAGCTCCAGCAGCAATCCACATCCAGGTTTTGCTGACCAGGAGCATAATGTGGACATGCAGGGATAAGATGCTCTCCTCCCTGGACAGGATTTCTCTGGGCATTGGGGCAGCATTTCAGCCTTTTTCCATGTCTACATCGTTCCTGCGTGTGCTTTGAGTGGCTTGGCACTATCAGGCATGGGGATTACACTGCTCTGAGGAAAAGAAAACACAGCCAGCCTTATTCAAGGAGCAGCCACAACATAAGAAAGGCTAATTATAAAATTCCACAGGACAGCAAGGCTGTTCTCTTGTGTGCCAGGGAAAAAAAAGAAGCTCTTTTTGTGCTTTCTGATGGTCCTGCTGCCTAGTCAGGCAGGGACACTCCAGGACACTCCAGAGATGCTCACGGGACAGAAGCTTCTGGAGGGGTCAGGGCCATCCCCACATCCACTCAGCAGCTGCCACATGCCACAAGCAGCATCTTCCACAACTTCCTATGGCATCTCCATCAGACTTCTTTTCTGGCAGCAGTTTGGCCATGGGTAGAAACTGGGGAAAACAAGTGGCTCACAAAACTGCAGAAAATATAAGGCCTCCAGAAAAAAACAAAAAACCAAAACCAAAACCAGAAATCCAAACCAATTTCCCTCTTCAATTAGCTGGGAAAATACAGAGAGGAGAGATAAACTCATTTGTCCAGGCTATACCGTGGCCAGGAAATGCACTGGGGGTGTAAAGAAAAGCCTGGTGCCATATTAAAAAGCCATAAGCTGAAACGAAAGGCATCTTCTTGCTGCCAGGAGGGAAACACAGGGCTAAGAACACCAGTTGCTGCTTCGAGCTGTTAGCTGGTGTGTAAAGGATGACATGATTCCCCTGCTGATTGCTGAGCTAAATCACCAGGTATTTATGGGATTCCTGCTGCTGCTTTCACTTTGGGGCACACCGGCATGAAAAATGCTGCATCTCCAGCAGGATGGAGCCTCCCCTCCTCGCTGCGCTCCTGCTGCTGCTCCAGGGCACGGCCAGTGGTGGGATCCTGTAATGAGGGAGCTCTCAGCCCCAAACCAGCCCGTATCCAACAGCCTTTGAAGAAGGGAAAGATGTAAATCCTGTACAAGATCATTTTTGTTCCCTGTCCTGACATCAAACCCCGCCTCGGTGCTGCAGCTG